AACTTCAGAGTTGTTTATCCAATCCAAGAAATCCTCTACTAAGTATTATGTGATTATTCTTAAGACTATTCAAGTGATACCGTCTCAAATTACCTTTGCATATTTTTGTTTACAGCTTTCATTTTTATGATGCATCTAAAAAGTTTACAGTCTTGCTTCTCTAGTGTAGTGTGGTTAAGAGTACAGAAGGTTTTGGAGTCAAATGGGTCTAGGTTTCAATCCCAGTACCACCACTGTCTATGCAATCTGGAACAAGTTACTCCACTGCTCTATTCCCCATGAATTTCATTTCTAAAATGTGGATATTACCTACCTCACAAAAATTATTTAAAAATTGAAATTAGATAATACATGCATGGTGGTTAGCAAAGACTCAATAAATGAAAACTATAATTACTCCTCAATGTCAATTTATTATACTCAGCTTAAACCCACCTATAATGGTGAATATCTTCAAATGATTTAGTATTATTTATGGCAAATACACAAAGAAAGCCCTCCCCAGTCCTCATGTACTGGTCCCTCATTGCACTGTACTCCTCTTGACCTGCTGTGTCGAGAATATCCAAGAGACAAGTTTCTCCATCAATTACTACTTGCTTCCTGTAGGAATCCTGAGAAGGGAGAAACATAGTCTGGATTATTACAGTGTAGCTTTTACTTTTAAAAAGGTGTTACACGCAACTCAACAACAAAAAGATAACCCAATTCAAAAATGGGCAAAGGGCCTGAAGAGACATTTCTTCAAAGATGGAAAAATGGCCAATAAGCAAGCAAAAAGATGTTCAACATCATCAGTCATTAGGGAAATGAAAATCAAAATCATGAGGTATCACCTCACACCCATTATGATGGCCATTCTTAAAAATCAAAACAAACTCCTCCCCACTCCCCCCAAAAAACCAGAAAAATAAGTGTTGGTGAGGATGTGGAGAAAGTGGAATCCTGCATATTGCAGATGGGTATGTAAAATGGTGCTGCCACTACGAAAACAGTTTGGAAGCTCCTCAAAAGTTAAACATAGAATTACCATATGGTTCAGCAATTCCATTCCTAGGTATACAACCAAAAGAACTGAAAACAGAGACTCTAGCAGATACTTATACACCAATGTTCATAGCAGCACTATTTACAACAGCCAAAATGTAGAAACAGCTAAGTGTCCATTAACAAATGAATGGATGAACAAAATGTAGTATATACATACAATGGAACATTATTCACCATAAAAAGGAATAAAATTCTGATACAGGTTCAACATCTCTACTCTGAAAATCTGAAATCCAAAATGCTCCAAAATCTGAAACTATTTGAGCACCATGATGATTCTCAAAGGAAACGCTCATTGCAGCATTTCTGATTTCAGATTTTTGGATTAGGGATGCTGAGCTGGTTAAGTATTTGCAAAAACTCCAAAATTCGAAATCCAAAACACTTCTGTTCCCAAGCATTTGGATAAGGGATACTCAACCTGTACATGCTACAACATGGAGGAACCTTGAAAACATTGTACTAAATGAAATAAACCAGACACAAAAGGACAAACATTACATGATTTCACTTATATGAAGTACATAGAATAGGCAAATTCACAGAGAAAAAAAGTAGAACAGGAGTTACCAAGGGCAGGAGGAGGGAGGACTGAGGAGTTATTGTTTAATGGGTACAGAGTTTCAGTTTCAGATGATCAAAAAAGTTCTGAAAACAGTGCTAATGGTTACATAAAATTATGATGGCTGCACATTATGAATGTACTAATGCCACTGAATTGTACATTTAAAAATAACTACAATGGTAAATTTTATTTCATGTAATTTTTTTCTTTTTTTTTTTTATTTCAGGAAATCATGAGGGTACAAACATTTTGGTTACATGTTATGACTTTGCCACATCTCAACTATGATTTGAGATGTGTCCTTCCCCCGCTGCAACGCTCACCAAGTCCATTAGTTGTGAGTTTACCGACC